GTGGATTTTAGGAGAGCGTCAACTTGAGGAGGGAGGGAAGCTGACAAAGTTGGCATACGAGAGGCATCCATCTGAAATGCTTCATCGTCGTTAAGCTGGTGGTGAGTATATGGCGTGCACTACATTACCCTCTATAACTGTCTGCATGTCTGAGATGTTTCATAATGGTTATGGTTATTTTTCTCATCGAGGGGGTGGTAGATAAAGAGTCGCTTTTCCAGGAAACCTAGTAGCAGCAGCCACCAACAGCACCTCTATTTTATCGGGGTTCGCCCTGAGTCCCCATTCCTTTCCCCAAGCGACTGCAAAAGCCACAAGGAAGCCGCCCCCAGCTTGGCACCCCAGGCATCACTGCGGCTGAAGTGCCACACCTGAAGGTGGGGGGGTCAGACTGGAGGTCAAACCCACCCACTTCACCCCCTTCCAGGGCCTCTGAAATCCGGGCCACAGTGGACTAGTCCTCATTTCTGTTCCCACTGTCACGGCTGTGTCTATACAACCGTGGTGGGTGCTGTGCTCAGAGACCTAATGGGCTTCTGTTGCTGATATTAACGGAATTCACATTAGAAAGTTCTTCTTCGAGAACAGGAAACTCCACCTTGTGGTAATCATGTGACAGCAAGCCAGCCATGGTGAAGGGAGCTAGCTTCCAATCTGCCAGGGGAAGCCACGGTCACACTGCTCTCCCCCCACCCCCACCCCCCACCACCAAAGCAAAGGCCAGTCCAGTAACGATGTTTTGTTTTGCTTTTGCTATTAACCTGCTTAAGTCTCTGTAAATGTATTTGTTTATTTAATTCAATGACCCTGACCTTCAATATCCCTGGCCTACCTGCTAACAATCTTCTTTCAAAGTTTAAAACCAGCCCGGCTGGTGTTGCTCAGTGGTTGAGTGTCGACCTATGAACCAGGAGGTCACGGTTCGAATCCCGATCAGGGCACATGGCTGGGTTGCGGGCTCCATCCCCAGTGTGAAGTGTGCAGGAGACAGCCAATCTGTGATTCTCATCACTGATGTTTCTCTCTCTCTCTCTCCCTCTCCCTTCCTCTTTGAAATCAATAAAAATTTAAAAATTAATAAATCAGTAAAGACCCATATATACAAAGTAGTTCCATCTGTGTACAAAACTCACGTGTTCTGGGGTGACACGTGAAGAGAAATACATCTAGCTTTCACTTGCATCTTTCCACACTGCTGACGTATTTTAAGCATGTACATGCATTTCTTTTATTTTTAATTAAGTAAATAAAATATCCCAATAGAATACAAATACCTAAATACACATAAACCCAAAAAAGCTTAGCTAAATTTACATCCTCTACGTACCAATTTTATGTGAGAAGAAAAATCCTTCTTCGTATTTCAACCATGATTGTTATTAAAAGAATTTTTTCACTCTTGTTTCAAACAGCTGGTTCAAACCCAACTTTATTGTTCTGAAAAGATGGTAAAAGTCTGTGATATTGGGCTTCGGGGAGACCTGCTAATTCCCCAAAGCCTGTTCCTAACTTCAATGGAGAAAGAATCTCTAACTCCAGGACCACAAGGGACTTTGGGCCCAGCCCGGCCCCCACGCCGTGGTCCCCACAGGCCTTGTTAGCGGAGACGCCGACTATAAATTTGAAATGATCGACACTGGCAAATGCTCCCGATGAGGGACGAATTGCAACTGGAGGTAAACATCGTTTAACCAAGCTTTATCCTACAGCGAATCTCAACAGAGCTAAGGGGCCTGCATAGGACTATGCCTGTCCCCCCTGCCCCCTGCCCCCGCCCCTTGGGTCCCTCGTCCTAATCAAAACCTTATTGGCTCCTCAGGGGCTGATTCCAACAGGATATGAGCCCTGCGGGGGGTCGTTCATTTTTACCTTCCACTCTCTCACTTCGACTTTGTCAGCCTTAATTTAAAGCTACTTCCTAACAGAACACAGAGCTCTCCCACCCCCCGCCCGCCCAGGTCCCACTGTGAAGAGACAGGCGCAGAATCTTAGCATAGAATCGGGGCGCTCACTAACCCTCTCCACTGTGGCAGGGACCAACACCTCAGGGATGAGGACAGACCGCCACACTCCTTCCCAGAGCAAGGTGACATAAAAGCAGGCTACTTCCCGTTCTGGCGGGTCCAAGCCTCCCTTCAAAAGAATCCTCAAAGTATGAAGATTTCAGGGTCTGTGTCTCACTGTCCTTAACAGCCAGAGTTGGGGCCTCAGGGGGTCTTGGGTCAGAACACCAGGTCAGAGCAGCAAGAGAAAAAGAAACCTCGGTAGGTGGACGGATGGATGGATCAGATCCAAACTTGGTATGAGTTGCCTGGCTGTCATCCTGCCAGCCGTGGGGCCTTGCCAACCACATCACTGGCAACATGGCACAATCATAACCAGTGGGTTGCAAGGAATGCTGAGGGCCTGGTGCAGGCACAGAGCAGGGGCTCCGCAGGGGCCATTTCTTGCTGCTGTCGGGACCACTGCTGTCCTCTCTAAGGCTGTGAGCTCAGTGGCAGCAGCCCTGACACCTTCAGGAGGCCGAGCTCGGCGAGGATTATTGAAGTTTAAGAATTTGCCTAGACTCAGCCCTCTGCTGACGTCACAGAGCAATGGTGTTCCGTTACCCCCACGCTTTTTCTTGTTTGTTTGTTAATCCTCACCTGAGCATATTTTTTCCATTGACTTTTTTTTTTAGAGAGAGAAGGGAGGGAGGGAGGGAGGAAGAGAGAGAGAGAGAAACATCAGTCTGTTGCCTCCTGGATGCACACACCCTGACCAGGCTGTGGATCAAACCTGCAACCCAGGTACATGCCTTTGATCAGGAATCGAACCTGAGATCCTTTGGCCTACAGGCTGAAACTCTAACCATTGAGCAAACCAGCCAAGGCCCAACACTCTTTAAGAAGACGTACTACTGAAAGCAAGGTGCAAAACTGTACCTATAATTTATAACTTGCTTTTAAACTTTCTCACTATTAGTTAAAGGGTGAGGAAGATTCCAGTTTCTACAGATGATATCTGAAGGGCGCGGACAGGGATGACAGCGGGTGGCTCAGAGGAAGAGGTCGGGCGAGGAGGACCAACGCAGAGACTTCGCGAACGGAGGTCATCGGTGGGAGAGAGACAGCCGTCTCACTGGGCCATGAGTGTGGGGCGGCCACACAGAGCATTCTACACATGACCGACAACTTGTAATTAGTGGCTCTGAAATTACTGAGCTAGCCAAGGCCTAGCCAAATGCGTGAAGAAACTTCCACTGATCCTCTCACATATATGCACACCCTGTACAAACACCCACGCGCGTCCCCACACACACATGCTCACACGGCACACATGTGCACACACACACAAGCACATACGTATCCACACCCACACACGTGTGTGCACATATATACAAGCACATATACTCGGCACACAAACACACGCACATACACTAGGGAACCGTATGCTTCCCTCACTTCACTTTCCTTCCTGATTAGTGATATGCACTGCAGTGCGATTCTGTATTACAGAAACATAAAATTACAGTGGGGCCTTGACTTACGAATTTAATTTGTTCCGAGACCAAGCTCGTTAAGGAGCTCATTAACTAAAATGACTCTGTCAACTCAATGCAAAAAATCGGCCGAGAGACAGCTGGTATCTCAAAAAACTCGTTAGTGCGGACACTCGTAAGTCAAGGCCCCACTATACACACACACACATGCACAAATTTAGGG